GGCTCCTATCAGTGAAACTTTGCTGGTCAACATAACCTTTCTTTCTTTGTCCGAGGCAACAAAACCGCTTTAGTTTAGTCAGTGAAAAGGCTTATCAAGTTTGAACTCTTAGCCAAATTTCGTACACATTTTACATTGCATCCTCTTATACTAGGTAGTTCCTTGAATAACTTCGTAACTTTTAAACTATCGTTTAGTTTTTTTTATAAAAGTCACTTTGTTCAAATACTCCATCTCCACTCATAGGTTATTCACTATTTTGTTTTTATACTTAGTGAAATATTATTGTAAATAACATTCAGACATGTTTCACAGTGGACGAATAAACAACAGAAGAAGATGAATTTGACACCAATTGGTTATGTAAAATAGACAAAATATATCTTATCCTTTCGTAGAATTAAAGCGTATAATTCATGAGGGAACAATAAATGTCGGGACTAGACTGAGACCTTTCTTGGCTGCCAATAAAGCCCTGGAACTTTTCCAAAAAAGCCATTCCGCGCGATTGACAAGACTGTAATTTCCTACATTTATTGCATGGCTTTTAAAGATCAAGATTATCCAGGAACAAATGTGTAGCTTTGTGGTTTAATCAAAACAAAAGATGCATATCACAAACTTACTGGATTCTGGCCAATAAACTCCGGTTTCTTAGTTGAAAGTTTGTTGTTCATTTCTTCACTTTGCAGATAAAATGAACAGTCGCTCAGAGGTGATGTTTTACATTGTATTCATGACATTGGACGTGTGGCATGTCACTTTGTTGATGTTCGTTGACATGGAAAGTTGTGCTGTGACTGCTGAGACAAGTGAGCACACTTTACCTTGAACTAGGGATTCATATTCAAGTGTACTTGATTCAGTTGTGATTGTTCACTCATTTTTCAAGTCAGCAACATCTGAAGCTGGTGAACCCCTAAGAATTGGTAAAGCCCTTTTTTTTCTATTTTCAAGAATTTTGTTTTTAAAGACGAGCATACAGACTCAGATTTTTAAGTAGTTTTCGCTTGCGAATAGGGAGGATAGGTATAACTACTCGCCAACCCTAGCGGTTGAAGTCACGAGGGGTACGACTCAAAGACATTCAAAATCACGGGAGCAGGCGATCATGTGCATCAATGTGCACCGGTCTTAGGACTGTTGTGGCTTTAGTGGACATACAATCTCTCATATAACCAATGCAACGTAAGAATTTTTTTACATACATAATATCTAATTAGTAGTGCGACAAACTTACACCAAAGACTTCCAATGTATAGATTTAGCTTCTGGACGTGGACCTTTAGTCGTATGATTTATAGTTAGTCAATAAAGAACCTATTCAAAATCGGCTCATTTTTCGTATTTTTATCTCTATGACTCATATGATCAACTTATTCTAATCACTAGACTTGGATTATTTTCATCAGTGAATTTAAACATCTCTTGTTTGCCTTTTGTGGAGAATGACCAACAACAACTTTTCCAATAGACCGGAAAAGAGCAATAGATTTTTTTTTTTTTCATTTTGTTGTTCATTTATTTATTCCTCTCTAACCTCAAACACTAATGGTATCCTCTTGACAAGACTTGTTTCTTTTAATTTTATTTCCTATCCACTATTTTCGAAAACAGATATATTTTCTTTTACAATCTATGTACTGAGGTATAAAATGAAAAACCACTATCGGAAGTGCCCACAATGCGTCAAACATAGTTAGTGACAGGGAATGAGATCACATGCTGGATCGTTGCGGTTACTCGATTTCGCCCCAGTCTATGTGATGACATGGTTGGAAATACGACCATTTGTGCTGTTACAACCTGGGCCGTTACCTTTCTTCACTTTTATCGACGAAGATAATATTATGAGCAAATGTGTCTACGTGTATGATCACGCGTATAATAAACACTGAATAAATTATGATAAATCATTCATTTTTTGTTTTGTTTAGATTCGACCAGTGGTCAAATCATTATGACCCATAATGGGGTCACAAGCTCACATTTTTTTTTTGTCAGATCAGTTTGTTTGAACAATAATAAAATGGGTATAATGGGAACGAAATACTGTAAAATACGTTTTTATCAAGTTAAGGTGTAATGCTCTATTTCAAACGTTCTTTAAAATAAATAGCAAATTATAGACAACAAAGTTTCAAAAATGTATTATTTTAATTTTAAATTCCACATAAAAAATCATATATGTAAAGACTACTGCATAACAATAGTTTTTCATTCATAGGTATTCATTCAATTTGTAAACACAAACAGAACATAAACACCACCAGAACATGCAGACGTACTTAGTTTAAAAGAGCGTTTTGCTTTATTCAAATTAAAGGGTTTAATTGGGTTGTAAGTGACAGAAACCAAGATTTAGAAAGGGGAGTAAACAGGTCGTTATTATACCACCCAACGACTTGGAATTCTTTTGTTTCTTCCTGAACGCCGAGAAATCTCCCAAATGATAATCGTCGAAATGCTTCTTGTTTCTTTCGTTCTGTTTGTTGAAACAGTGCGATAACCTCTAATGTTCTCACTTTTATGGATAGAAAGCTGTGTGACTTTCTAATTTTGTTTCGCTGAAGGATCATTGGATAAGTCAAATTAAAATTGTGTAATCTTAATATTTAATTTCTAGACGTTGCATAGTTGAATTTCTAGCTTTTTTACTTGCTACGTAATCACCACACTATATCTGTGTGTGTTAGACTAGTATCGTTATATAAATAACCAATCAAATCAATCTTGTTTGTGTTTAAAGTCTTAAAACAACACTTCAATATATAAATAGATAAAAGTATCTAATATTGTGCCTGTGCATGATAGGATTTATCTATGGATGCATAGATGGGCATATATTGACGTAACAAAAAACTGTTTTTATCCTTCAGTAAAAATAAATGCATCTTTTTAGGCGAGGTAAAAGAAGGCTTTGGATTTGGCCAGTAAGTAAAGCACTGTTTAAAAGGTTCAATGTTCAACGGAAAACGTATATGGATATATCCATTGGATATCCATTCCAATAGCCTGCATGGATATCCAATACCATATACCATTGGATATCCATGGTAAATGGATTTCGGCCATGTGACAATTTTGTAACCCAGAGGTTCAAAGTCCGCCTAAGGTCCGCCTATTTACTTCTGCCGAAAACCATTTTAGAAGGTCTGTCAGGTCATATCAACTAACACACACCTGGACACATGTCTGAATTGAAGAGCTACATCCTTTGAAACCCAGTTGAGAGTAACAAATTACTATTAGTGAACTACTAAATGATACCAAAGATAAAACTTTTATTTATAATATTTAAAGTTTATTTTCACCACAAGTTAATTTATAGGTTGGTAAAGTGTATGGTTCGTAGTTAATTGGCATACTCTAACGGTTTTTGGAACACTGATGTTTTTTTGCCTATTAATATAGATAAAAGGAGTATAGACATACAATATACAATATACAATCTATGCTATTAATATAACTTTTATTGCATGGATTATTCAGTAAATGCGTTAAAATCATAGTGATCATGTTTTTTTAGTCTACAACATGTGAATACAGGTTTACGTACCTCCATAAAATAGTCCACTGATTATTCAGTAGAATCAGCTGACTTGTTTCAATGCGAAGATCACCTGTTTAAAGTTTTAAACTCATCAAACACATAATTAAAACAAGCAAAACATGAATACAAAACTGATGAGGTGTGTTAAACCTGTTATCGTCTTAAAAAAAGTTGTCCCGGGGCAAGAAACATGCATTTTGATACAGTTCGTAGTTTAAATGTATACTTATTTTACAAGTAACAATAAAAATCTACAACACTCACAACTTATGTCTCTAAATCTATTGGCTCAATACACGTCAGTCTATTTTCAACGCCATTGTAACTGTAATATGATTAGTTCCACTGTTCAAACGATGTGAAATGCAGCTGATTCATTAGTTGAGTGGTGAACACCATCGATCAGCTGGGTACGAGAAGAGCCTGTCACCGACGCGACGTCGTGTTGTGCTTCACTGTGAAACATGACTAGGAATGCCTCTAGGCCCATAGACCTGCTGCATGTTGATAATTAATAGTGGTTGTACACTAAAGGGAATACATTGCGGTCAAATGTTTCGTGCGACCATGACTTGGCTTAGAAATATATCTTCTCGGATGAAAATAAAGCATAAGATACATATTACCTTTTCATATCACAGTTTGTCATTATTTTGCATTTTACTTAGATAATTAATTTATTGTATACCTTATATGTTGTAAGTTGGATAGATGAGTGCATATAGTGTTCGATCCAGAGAAAAGCCAGTAGACTTTTGATGGTTCTGTACTGGACTCTTTCCGTTATCATTGGGCTTTTGATAATTAGTCTTGGCTAAAGGAACAAGCTGTCATCACATTTATTACTAATTGGTCATTGATATTTGCATTCATATACGCTCCCGGTGTTTAGGCTTCGTATGAGTTTAATTTAATCCAAACTACGCTTTGAAATATTGTGAATAGTCGATTTGATTTATAGCTGCTTTATAAAGGAAGCTGAAAGCCTTAATACTTATTTCATTAATTTCCAACGATAACCCATTAAAATATTAATCTGAGCTTTTCCATTAATTCTCTAACACAATTGGAATGTGGTAAGGTTAGGTTAGGTTGGTTTGGGTTGGGTTTTCTACCTCTATACTAAACTAACCTAACCTACCCTAACCAAAGTTTAATTCACTACCACTTCTATTGCTAATAATCTGTTGCCCTAAAACTAGTGATATTGAATTAATAGAAATGGCCTATTAATATTAGTCGTCCTATATTTTAAAGACTTACTAATTATCAGTTCACAATTACTCCGGTACCTTAGGGTGTGATATATTTCATGGAATCCATTGCAAACGTCTGAGTTATATTACTAATATTTCAGGTTAGATAGCAGAGACCATTCAACACTACATGGCTCACAGCTGACACATGAGATCAACAAATGTCTTATGTTGTATTTTGTCTGTTGCAGGCCTCGTTCTACTCCACGGCGCTGAAGACCCTGATCTCCGTGTCCACAGTGGTTTTACTTGGCCTCATCGTCGCCTATCACGCCCTCGAAGTTCAGGTGAGCTCAAGAATTGTGTTATTGGCAAAAGACAATGTGTAGACGTTAATAATAAAGGTTTTAACACAGTCTAATTACCTAGTATATACATATTCAAGTTACCTAAGATGTTTATATAGTCAGTCTGATCTAGTTTCCGTGTACTTTAGGTACCATAGTACTATTATGTACTATAAGGTGTTTGTCTTAGTTACAGAGACTACACTAAGCGTGTAGGACACTAGATATCGATAAGAATTAAATTATAAGAATACTTTCAATGGGGGAGTAGGAGATGAAAAACAATTCACTATTGGATGCAACGTGTATATTCCTGAGAGGAGAGAAGATGGGAAGTTGAATTGAATTGAAAAATTCTTTATTGTTCTTTTCAAATACAATAGGTACAATACATCTTTATAAGCTAAGGTTGTACATGATTATTACATGTATTTATTCTAATATAAACAAAAAACACAAATACTCCTCACAACATAAATCTAACTAATTATAATGTTATCGAACAATAAAGCCCTGAGATTACAGAACCTGTACGGGAAATAAACATTTTTAGTAATTGAAGCAACTCGTGGTTGGGTAGTCAAAGTAGATCACCATAGTTTATCATTAGCGTCAATAAAAAATATGCTTGCGCGAGACTATGTGAGAAGCACTAACCATCGATGGTACTTAACAAGCCTTCAAGCAATACTTGAACCTACGTTTTAAAAGTGATTGAATCAATAGTGACAGCAAAATAAATTCAGCGGTCCAAATCTATTGGAGTACTGTGTTGTGATTGGCAGTAGTTCCACGAAACAGTTTCTTATTAGTATATATTTTTTCGTATTTTTAGATAGTTTTAAACATATTATTATTACTATTCCACATATTTTTGTTGAATCATTTATTACCAGTAAAGTAAATCAATATTTTTACTAAATGTATATTTTTTAGGAATTTAATTTTTTTTTTTTTTTAATATTCATACTTATTGCTAGGAAAACGAAGAAATGGTTTTGAAAGATTGTGCCTACAAGTCTTGTCTGTTGTATGTATCGACTACCAGCTTTATTGACAGGAACAGCTGATTCAAGTAAACAGAAGTGGCTTTTGTTTACTCCCCCCCCCCACCTTAGGTCCACCGGTCGTGCCACGCCCCACACACTTTCTCAAACACCTTTCAATCAAAACAAACGTTCTGCCCTTTACTCATGATTTCCATATTTACAAAGACATTTGGGGTCTTTCCAAATACTTATAAAACACCAGTTTTCACTAAATACACATAGCTCAAATTGTCTAGGCGAACTTATCAAATGCAAATGATAACATAAAGAATTTTAGTATGTTTCAATTATATTATTTCGCCCAACTTGTTCGGGGGAAATGTGAGTTTTTCCTTCTATACAAATAAAAGTAATAGTGTAAGAAGATTACGTTCTTTCACTCCCAGTTGCCTTTTTCATTCTTTTTGTGGAAGTTAGTTTTTTTTTTTTTATTAATTATACTGCTTTTTATTCCAATACAGCTAAAGTGTGCTGTATTATTATCATTAATTTAATTTTTCCTCAAACTTGATCACTTTTTGAACAAAGACAAACAATCCTAAGCCTATACTTGTTACAAATGTAATAATACGAGCTAATCTGAAAAATGTATACTCTAACCATGTGACAAAATAAAACTATCTGAATTTAGGTCACCAGACACATGAGGTTGACTGGCTCCAGAAAATAATATATAAAATCTATCGATGGTACTCTAAACTGTTTTGGAAAATTTATATCACGACATTGGCAAACAAATAAAATATCTGATCCAACTTTTACAAATTTATAAATACTAGGAGCATAGCAAGTCTTTTATTAGTTTCCAGACTTCTGTATTCCATGCCCGGGTTCAAATCCCGCCTAACACTTGGCTTTTTGCTGTGTTAAGACAAAATATGTGTTGGATCCAACTTTAATCTGTACAATAATCTTATAAGTAAAAGTACAGGTCTCTTAAAGTGAGGAAATTAGAGTATATTAGAGATCTGACTTCAGGAAAGGGTTAACGATCATTTAAAAATGATCACACATTAGGTTGGAATTTGTTCCCCTTTTCGTACATAGTTCAACTTCATCAAATTTGTCATAAAAAATGTTAACAAAGAGCCTACGTTGTGGGATACTATTTTGAATTTAAAGTAATATAGATTTTCAGTATAAGTGAAAACGCTTTAAGCAACACGAATACGAATAAAACTCGCCCTCCACCATGTTGTCAAATTTGCATTCTTTACATAATAATACGATTCATTTATACGATATGCCAGGAGTTTTACTTTCGCAGTTTTACTGACGACACAACTTAATAATCTGGATATCCGAGAGGCTTAAATGACCTTCTTCAAATTAAGAGTCGCTGGCTTGATCCCTAGCTAGGTCAAGTCAGGACCCAAATGTCATTTCATGACTGTATCAATTAATGATGACATTTGACGCTAACAAAAGTTTACGTTAGATATTTTAATCGCAAAAATGCTGATGGCTCGGAGAGTAAAAATAACAAAATGAAATCAAACCAAAAACCCATTATTTAAGATAAGTTAGTAAAATGTGTACATTTTTCAACGCTATTCAATTAAACTGAAACTTTTGAATGTTTTATAAGACTTGCCAAGTAAACCCGCGCTGAATATTCTCAGTGATGAGGTTTGCTCGGAGAAGGAATTTGTAATTTTGAAACAAAACCCTCAGCTCGGGGCTGTACACCGCGCCAAGCAAATGTCCAAGTAAACTGAAACTGGACTGCAATAACCTACATACTGTAGCCGCCAGCTACTACAAACTTGGGAAGTTATGATTTATATTTCATAGAATTTGTTACGTTATTTATCCAGTTTTGTAGTCCACGAGGAGAGTTCATGGTGTAATGTAAAGATACATGCACATCTATGATGATTATATTTTTCTCTGAAAATCATAAAAAGCGTTAACAAACTATACAATAATTAAACAACTAAGATCTACTTTTTTGTCCTAGGACGCTAGGCACGACACGGCACGACCCTGGGATTGTTTTTCACATTACTTCAGGCTAGACCTAGGGGTTGCGGCATTTCACTTAGATAAAATCCTTTGGTGACATGGCGGGGATCAAACCCGAGACTTCAGGGACTGAAGTCCCGCGCTCTAACCACTACGCCAGCTCGCTCCCCCTATTTACTATGATCTACAGTAAATTAATAACATACTAATAGAACATTTATCGGTGTTAGAAAATCCGTGCTTTGCGTATCATGGAAACTTACTCATTTACATTTTCAAAGAAAATGCCGAACACATTTTCGAGTTTTGTTGGCATACTAATTCAAACAATAAACCACACAACATAACGTTGGTTGGAACAATACGAACATTCAGTACCAATCAATATGTGCTTAAACATAGTTTAACCTAGTTCCACACGGCTTTAGCTGGTAAAATGTTGTAGGAAGAATTATTATCCACACCATCCATTAGCTATTTACATCGGCATTATCGTCTATTAGAGAGCTTTTATCTGGGCTTCGATTAAAGTAATGGAGAGGAATTTTAGCGTCACGTTACATCGAGCCATGCACGATCGATACACCAGATGGACCTTGGTCGAAATTGTTTATTTGATTGTTTACAGAAAATGCAGATACAGAAAATAAGTCTTGCAACACTGCTTAGTTACAGTTGTACTTATTTAATTCAAAAGACCGTTAATATAAGTATATTTATTGGCAAATGATAAATTAAATATATATTTTATCCTATCACACCGGTTACCATCAGGCTATGTCCGTCAAGGAACTTAAAATACGCTCCTAGGGCTGTAGACTCAAAAGTAATGATAGTGAGAAGGGAATTATTAGAAGATCCTATTCACAATAGCATTCCAGTAAACTCATAATACATCCTTGTTTGTATTAGACCCTTAAATACATTTGTTAAACAGACCTTAGATAAGACGGCTCATTGGACAACTCAGGTTTAAAAAATACCTAGGAAAATGGACTGCGTATAAACCAGGAACCGTTTGATAAAACAGTCCTCAAATCAAGATGTTTTATTCATAAGATTAATTTGAGACAGACAAAATGACTTGCTGGTAAACTGGTACTGTAATACCGTTTTGCAATAGACCACATACCAAGTGGTTATTTGAATATATTACTAGGTCTTGGTGGTTACTTCTTTAGGAAAATGTCTTATACCAACTGGCTTGAAAGTCTTTATTTGTAATAATTTGCTAAAGGTGCCATTAGAATCCGTTGTGCTTGCTTCAACCACGTCAACAGAAAAAAAATCTCCAGACTTTACGTCCTTACTTCGGAGAGGTATCTTTTGAGGATCTTGAGTCTCAGAATATCATTTAACTATGTTTCTTCAAAGTAAGAGCTAAACATCTGGTAGAGTTCTTTAACTGCCTACGTGGTGGACGCCAAAAACCATAGTGGACTGCCAATTAGTAACCATTTTCGTAAAAGAATCCTAGACCCATTTGCTTATTAGACATGCTGTAACCTATTTAGAGAAACCCCTAATGATCCATATTGTTGCAGCTGTTCATGATCGACAACTGCGCAGACGACTGGCGGATAGCGATGACGTGGCAGCGGATAGCAACGATCACCATGGAGTTGGTGATATGTGCCGTCCATCCCATCCCCGGCCAGTACTACTTCCTGTGGACCACCAAGCTGGCCAACAAGGGTGGTGAGATCGGGTCCCAATGGGTGCCTTACGACGTGGCCCTCTCCCTACCCATGTTCCTCCGACTCTACCTCATTTGCCGCGTCATGTTGTTGCACAGGTAGGTTTCTGGATTAGATTGGGAAAATAATCTTAGGAATTGTAAGCAAAAGAGGAGGTTATTTTGAGATTAGCTTCATTGTGACCGATTACACAGTTGAGGTCTCTATGAAGGTGCCAAAACTTGGGAGGTTTTTAAAGTTCACTATAAGTTAAGGTAGTCAGTGAAGCTAGTTTTAGTTTCAAAGTAGTTTTCATGGAGATTTGAAATCATATGCCCTATAAGTTAGATTCATATATTAAATTTATAACCTTTGTGTTAGTTTTTTTCTGCAAATTAAAACTTCTTAAAATTATGCTGGTATTAGCCTAAGCCCAAGTAACCCCCCCCCCTCATCCCCACAACGACCCAATTAAACCCTAGAACACCAAGTAACTATTTAAATGTTACTTTTAGTGATATCTTTGTTATTGTATAGCATCGTGCGTTGCCATGTGCTCCGACTTCAATTCTCTGTACGTACCTTGTTCTTTGTCCTGTCTCTACAAATCAAAAGACAGAATAATTTTACTCCATGCAAAGTCGCTTGGTTGAATGTAAAATTGTATGTCTTTAAAGAAGATATACACTTTCAAAAATATGTATATCCTAGGTCTTTCGTTACTCTATGTTCTGGAGTATTCAAATTCAATCAAGTTACTTTATTTTGGCGCTTTATTTACTTTCTATTACTGACATCTATACCCTCACATAATCCAGTCTAAATGTTTTTGCAGTAAACTGTTTACGGACGCTTCTTCCCGTTCCATCGGTGCGTTGAACAGGATCAACTTCAACACCAGGTTCGTCCTCAAGACCCTGATGACCATCTGTCCTGGCACAGTGCTGCTGGTGTTCATGGTCTCCTTGTGGATCATCGCCAGCTGGACACTGAGGCAGTGCGAAAGGTCAGTCCTTCAAATAAACTCTCCCCTTGTATCCTTCCGACGAGAATAAAATAAGGAAACGTTGATTGGAAAAGGATACTTATTTTCCTAACAGTGACTATCCTTGGGCTTATGATTGTGTAAATAATCACAACCATATTCATAACTGAAAATGGTATGTTGTTACAACTGATTTTTTAGAGAAATTGTGTGTTGGGTGTAAATAGACACACAATACTACAGACCTAGCCGGACCGTAAGGCCAAACACAATTATTTTTTACAGTATGAACTAAACTGCCACATTTCATTAACAGTCCCAAACTACTTTCGTGGATAGTTAAGAAATTCTAATAACTGGGGTTTCATGAAATATTTGCTGAACAGTTCATTAAATCCCTATCTTCATTTTCTAGTTTTCTTATTTGTTGTATAATGAAGAATTTACAACATTCTTCGAGATACAATGAAACAGTTACAAGTTCCAAGAATTAACCTTATTTTAGAACTATCTCATTTCGGTTAGTGGGTTTTACACAATCATTCAGACAATGGTAACAATTACGTCACTAAATACAATAATTCTATGATTTCAGCATTATTTATAATACTAATAGTAAGACTTTGCAGCTTAAACAGGATAATATAACGTAGAAACAGTTGTATTCAATTTCATTGGTAAAAGTTTAATCCCTTATAATGTTAGCGGTTCCCTGTTTTATTCTCGTCCATCCCTTACCAAAATTAATGCAAGTCCCAAGTCCACTATAAGAAATAAGAGCTGGTGTTTAAATCTAAAAAATACTTAAACTAATGTAATCTAAAACGTGTATTCCTAATACTAAAATATAAACGCTTCTGAATAGAATGTAATGCCAGTTGGTGAAATTGAACCCAAACGCTAATTATATTTATGCAATATCACTTGTTATTCTGTTATTGGTTTTATTTCTTATTGTTTTCAATAAGAAAAAAGTATAGTAATATTTTAATCGCCGAAATAAAAACATTTTGTCGTAAATAATTTTCTTTATACTTTTAGCTTGCAGATAGCTTTGAGACGCAGTTTCATACATAAATACAAATAATAATGCCTAGACTTTATGAATATTTAATGACAGTTCTAGATCGAAACGATAGAAAGTGTCATTAAATGGGCTACATTAATAAATTTATCATTAAATACTACATCCTCTTATACGGCTATGGACTTAATTTAAGGGAAAGTTTGCACTGTTTGTAGATATATTTTTTTTATAACATATTCACAATACAAAGGAAAACTGTATTTCAAATTTAGTTTCATCGTTCTACATTGAATATTTGGAGCCAGAAGCTATTAGAAGATGCAGCATGTCCCCTTTCTATTTTCTTTTGTATTCGTTTGTCCCTTCTTTCCTTTAACTTGTTTTATGCTTGTAAAGTATTTTTCCAACACAATAAAGAAAAAGGATAAATATTTTAATCACTAAACCTAATACTCGTATAATACAAAAACAGCATGGCTAACAGTAGTTATATACCAAATAAGTAACACATAGGTCATTACAGTAGATGCTTCCCACTTAGTAAAAGCACAGAGGAATAATTTTCTTTCCAATTACTCCTCGCGAGTATTCACCTCACGCATGATGTCATAATTAGTTAATGCTGCGTTGTGCATATGTTTAGATATTTCAAGCTGTAACTGAATTGAAGTAAATAATCCATGAACCATACAACACATTCCTGTGAATTTGGATTGTCATGTAGATTATAACTAACTAAATATACAGAATAGGTATTTCTTTTGAGAGTTGCTTGAAACGTTTATGTAACGTTAGCTTATGAAACGTTTAAATAAGTTTTCAAAATTATTTTGCTGCAAATTGAATTCCTTTTGGGGCTGTATTACTCTTTACTTAGTCAAGCATTTTTGGGGAAACGAATATTGAAAAAAAAACTAAAAGCTACAATGTGAACTTCTTTCTTATTGTTTTAATGGTATTACTAATAAATCATACTTGCCTAATATTCAAATTATTACAATTTAACAATTTACAATTTAATATTTTATCGCAAAAATTTTTGTTATAAGCATGTATTAGTCCATAACTAAATTTATTAGAATGAAAGTTTTAACTAGATTCTTAACAAATAACAAAAAAAAACAGAACTATATTAAGGTAAACATCCAGTTACAAAATTATTTCAAACACTATCAGTTCAACTTAAGAATATATCACACAAAAATCTAATCATTAATTCCACACAAATAAACTCAAAAAGTGTTTTTCATCTTCATGAATCAGTAAAATCTTCGGCATACTTGATAAGGAGAACATACAACTATTCTACATAGTTTTATTTCAATAAAAGGGTCAATTTTCATTCAAAAGATATAAAATTTGAAGTAAAAGTCCAGCCAGTGCCATGTGTGTGTGTTTGGGGTAAAGATATGGAACCAATCCAGAAAGTTCCAGTCTGACAAAGTGGACACATCAGTCTGGATCAAGGCTCCGGTTCAATCAGATTTGTCTCAATTTGTTTCAAAATTGCATCACTATTTTTAAATGGTGAAATATTATTAATTTACACATTCTATGGTGAAATTACCTCTTGTATTTGTATTTAGGTTTGTTTAAAGGCTTTTAAAAATACTGTTTAAGTTAAAGATATTTCTGTGACTTATTTCACCCAGTCATTAAAGAATCTAACTTGCAGTAAGTTCAAACGTAACGACATTGAACAAATATTATTAAAAATTGACTATTTTCATCAAATATGACTGTTTTAGTCTAAAACCTTGAAGTAAATATATTACATTTTCCTGGTGGGCTTAAATTAGTAAATGAAAAACATAATTTAAATGTCAATTTTAAAAGTAACTGTATTTCCAATCCATATGTAAATGTGAGATGCATTATACAAAAGTGCATTGATACTATTTCAAGTATCTTAGACATCTTGGTTTAAAGTCTTATGTTGTCAAAAATATGGAAATTTTATAATGGACTTGTTTCTAACTCATAAAGCTCATAAAAGAAGAATGGTTAACTCAAGAATGGTATGTAAATGTAAAATAATCGTTGATATCATAAAAACCAAAACATACATGTTCACAAAACCAAAGAAAGAACCGATGAAATGTAAATAATATTTTTTTTTTTTTTACTTCAGTGGTTAAAGTAGGGAAGTAACTATATGAATTCAATTACCTACAATTGACCTAACAAAACTAATCTACATTTAAACAAGAGTAAGACCACACAGGTAACAGTTAAACTCTAACAAAACACTTATCATAGACAAGTATTATATCTAAAAGATTTCTGGACTGATTTCATTTTTTAAACGGAGACATTCAATATTAATATTTCAAGTTTGTTTCTAAAAGTTCCAATAACTATTATTTTTCCTCTTCTGAAACAATACTATGAATGAATTAGTTTTCAAAATAGTTTTACAACATGTTTACTCTTTTTTACTTTTTCACTTTTTGACCCTCTTACCTCTCGCCATGTTGCCGTTGCCGAGTAGAGATCACAGAACGCATGAGTGTGGTAGTATTTTTGTTTATTTTGTGCCTGAAAGTGTGGCATGTTCCCGTTTTGATTTCAGGACTTCGTTTTGGGAACCTGCAATCAACATCAAAAATTAAAACAAAGTCAGAATATTTTTGTCCATGCTGATTTTTAGGTATTGATGTTATGGACTGAACTTTCTTCTTGTGCTTTTACATGTGATTTAAAAATAGACGTATACTAGTTTACTTATTTTGTTGTAGCGTATTTTTAATTAGACAAGTCAATGGCATATGAAGACTACTAATAATTCTTGGATTATAAATATTTAAGTTCGTTTGTAATATTTTTTCCATATTTTTGCTGTTTAATTCAAATAGCTGTGTATTTTCTTCATGATGACTGCTTTCAGTACCATTCAAAGTACATTAATCATAATAAAATCCTTTGATTTGAAATAATCAATTGAACGTATGTTTCTACGTTCCATGTTTACGTTGGGAAAGCTTGATTAAGAGTATTACACATTATATTGCATTGGTCTTTATATGTACCCCTTGTTACACGTAGATATCAACCTTAATCAGTTGGTTGGATGAAGATTAAAATAGGCTTTTTACAATAAGAATGTCTAAGGGTAAAATATAAAAGAATAACTTCTTAGAAGATATTTGCAATGAGAAATGTATTTTGCATTCTATGAAGTGTCACAACCAATAAACTTGTGGTCACTAGTTCACCATCCAACTGTAGAATTTGGTATGACACTACTTCACATTAATATTCATTCTAGATCACTGGCATACTATTGTAATTTCATTTCAGTTTGCAGTATGTAACATAGTTACCTTAACCTTTACCAAATACACAACTAAAAAGACAAAAGAGTAATTAAGTAGGAAGTATGTTCTTTTAGTTGAACGTAATACCTTAAATATGTAAGATGTTTTCTGCATTAATAATGCAACTGCCGTCTACCAGGTTTATGATTATAAATCTGTTTGTCATAAGTTTTTAGATTAATAATGTTTCGAACTCATGTATGTGGCTGACACCAATGATGTTTTCATGAGAAAACCAACCCAATCATCTCATTGACCCCAATACGTCCTTCAATAGCAGCTTCAATGTGAACAAAATGAAACCAAATAATATACGAATACACTTCAAACAAAGAGTTGCGCTTTTGATCAAATACTGTATTGTTGTAGTTGATTCATCCATGTAAGATAAGCGACATGATTTTGAACACGACGATAGCCTAGTTAAAAGCTTAAAAACTGACGACTGTTTTTAATCGTGTGGGAACCGTCAGGATTAAATTTTAAATTCGCGATTTCCTCATTCAAATGTTAAAGATTTATTTCATGCTGTGTGATTCTGCAATGTTTTATGTTCTAATGAATGATTCTCAATGTATGTGTTACTAATGTATACTTTATTTTACAATCCAATATCCAAAATAATATTTTCCTCACTAAGAGGGCTTAAATAGGGTTTTATGGGGTTTAAATGTTAC